TTCTACCTGACGTAGATGGACGTATCGTCACGTAGAGGCATGTCATCAGCTTATTAGACCATGCTTGAATAGTATGCAGCCAAGTCTTATGCTCGACCTGCACTAACCAAGGTCTACCAAGTAGTGATTTGATTTTCCCCAACAAGATTTAATAACAAACACAAGACATTGTAATTAATGTTTGGTCATCCAACACAAACCTCAAAAACCGATCGTTGATGTTGGACGTTCTAGACAGATCCATGTTTTTTAGTGAGCGTCCTTAATACATGCCCTAGTATAAATTTCCTGTCACTTGAAACACGGAATAATGCAAACAATGAGATGGAGAATTCATGAAATACAATGTTATGGTAAGGAACATTGAGGCACCTTGAAACAACTTACAAATTAACAATCTTCAGATCAGTGAGATTTGGACAGACTGACAATAGAGCGCATAAGGACTTGGTTCCCATCGATACGAGATTGTTAAGCTTCTCAAGAGATCCCTAGTTGAATAGAGAAAGATATTACCAAATCAGAAGATCAAATACTACCGATTGAATAAACGGTTTGAAACAGATATCACTTGTACAAACTGGTAAATCAAGAAAATACCCATGATTAGAAAATAGTGAGACAAGACCAGAGCTTCTGAGTGAAGGTATAGCTTGACAAGCAACACGGCCGAGTTTCAGGGATCTGCATAATAAACCATAAGAGATAATCACATAATACACAAGCATCTAGAAGGACAATAAACAGATTCGGTTTTATTGATGACAAAAGATCAAACCTGAGTTCCTTTCCAGCCCGATGAATCATACTACACACAACTTCATCATTAACGCACTTAGCCATTACCAAGTCGATATGAGCGTAACATAAAGGGTCCATAGAACATTTTTGGAACATGGTGCAGCACGCTGCAGTTCGGATAAGAGACTTTGTATCAAGCATTGAAAAGACCTGATTACACATTATAACACACATTATCTCTCAAGTAAACATAATCCTCAATTCCCCTCCCTATCCCCAAAAAAAGAACACAAATCGTTACATCTGATTACAAACGTAACTAAAAAAAGGAACAAATCCCTACAAAAATTGTACATTGTGTCCTTAATAACGCAGGTTACTTAGTTTGAAATTTCTCAAATTCTTACATGGATTTCATAATCAGGTGAAAGGGATTGTTCTTACTACAGAACAGTTCTATAAACCCCCTAACTAATGTACATTGTGTCTAAATCATCATCGTTCTCTATTGGATTTCATAAACGGAGGTCGTTGTTACCTTAATGGACCAAGACTTGTTATTGTAAAGAGAGGCTCGCTTCCGACAAAAGCGTTTGGTGGATTCGTTCAAAAGCAAAGCGAGTTCGCGAGAACTTGACCAAGCACTCGATCACCGGAAGTTTCGGAAGCAGAGGAGAGAACTTGACCAAGCACTCGATCGAAAGAGCAAGCAATCGAAGTGGAAGGCGGAGAATCAGGCAACAAAAGGAAAGAGGAGATAATCGAATCGAAGTCGGTCTGGTTGAGATTCTGAGCAATAGGAAAGGAATTAGGGGTTTGTTGGATTGAAGAAGAAGAAGAGGAAACACCAAGGCAAGGTCGCTTAGGGTTTGGAGGTGTAGTCATGACGACGACAAGCAAGAATGTTAGATTTTGAGAGCGGATTTTTCTCAAGCTTTTTGCAGAGTATTTATACGTGTGCCGCCTCAAAAACAAATATATATTTTTTTGTACGGATATAAATCTGTTTTAATATTTGTAAAAAAAAAAAAAAATCTCCTGCAGAAAATATATTTGTTTAGCTAGCTGGTCATGATTTAAAAAAAAAAAAATCATCGGTTAAGTAGAGAAGTTTACAAGTTCAAAATAGTGATACGAATCACTTTTGTTTTGTCAATAAATACTAATAACGATTAAACAAACACTAATCATAGTAAAATATGATCGCCGTAAATATCCTCGTCGGAATAATCATCTTCAACTCCATCGTCGTCCTCTGAGTTGTCGTCGTCCTCCGAAGAGTTGTCGTCCTCTCCATCGTCCTTAGTTTCCATCATCTCTATCAGCCTCAACTCTTCTTCATCGCAGACATTTGAACGCTTTTCTGAGCTGAATTTTACATAATAACACAAACCCCGTTTCTAAATTTTAATTACTCCAGATTAACTTCCTTTAATCAAATGATAAAAAAAAAAGCCTAAAAAGAGAAGTAATCGATGAAACCTTGTTACTGAAAAATCTGCCACAAATTTGACACCAGGTCTTTCTTCTTTCAGCTTCTCCAAAGGAAGACTACAACAAGAAAGGAACATTTTGGTTTGTGCTACTCAGTTAGTCATTAGTACCGACTTGTGCTTCTTATAGGTCAAACCGTAACAATCTAAATAAGAAAATGAAGAATCAAATCAGTTACTTACTTTGGTTTGGAAGATCTTTTGCCCCCAGCGGAAGCTAAGCCGCGGTCATTTGAAACATCCTGTTGGAGAAGAAGAACAAGACGTTATGGGTAAACCAAGTTACACCTTTCATCCATAGAATTTGGCATCGATTATTTAAGAACTTACAATGTGTTGAATGGATTTGAAGTCTCCTGTGAGTAGTGAGTTACAGAATTCCAAGACTTCTTTCTGAAATATAATGCAACAACCAAGAGATTGTTATGATGAGATCATGACAATGATGCAACGACCAAGAGATTGTTATGCTTAATCTTTTACCTCCTCTAGCAAAGGGCAGTTGCGCAATATTAGAGTCTTGAGTGGACCATCTTTGCAGTTGATTCCCAAATCCCTGCCATCAACGGAAAAAATTCAGCCATGAGAAATTTCGCTTATAAAGTTTCTGCGGGAACATTTTGTTCAGGCAAACATGAACCTTAAAAAGCGACCCTTGATTGTAGGCGATCTGGACAGATTCAAGTACTTGAGTTTACGAGAACTCTGCAAAAGCATCCGAATATTTCTTTAGTATTTTGTAAAAATGCAAAGATGGTACCAGGAAACTCAAAAAGACCCATACCTCAGCAAGGTTTCGGGACATCTGACCGTTTAGTCGAAAACGTATGAGCGTCAGAGAACTTAAATTGGGGCAGTTGGTCACAAACTCTACCAAGGCTGATCCTGTTTTAGTGTCCAATGTACCTGTCACACAGTAAGGTAAGCTTGAGCAAACCTGGGAGTAAACAGAAAGAAAGCTTCACGGTAGAAAAGCTTTACTTTGACAACCATAGGTCTCTAAGAACAGGTGCTCTATGAAGCGGCATTTTGTTGCCAGTGTCTTAAATAGCTGCTCAGATAGGATATACCTGTCACATGAAGCACGAAATAATGTAAGAAGTGAGAGAATGTAGCATAAGAATAAGCAGAAATTTTAAAGTCAAACGACACTGAAGTAACAAAATAATTGAAATTCGAAAGCATAGAATATGACACTTTCAGACAAAATAAAAAGCAATATGGAAATGGAGAAACTCTTGAAATCCAAAATAAATAAGCCGGCACTCCAAGACAACTTACAATCCAACAATCCTCAGATCAGTGATATTTGAACAAACTGACAATGCATCGCATAAGGACTTCCAAATCATCGGTCTGATATTGTAAAGCCGTAGGCTTCTCAAGCGACTCCTAGTTGAATGGAGAAAGAAGATAACAAATTAGAAGCATAAAGAAGATACCAAATTAGAAGCATAAGTGCACATTAAATAGAACAGTAATTTCTCAAGCCAACGAGTGAAATCATTTTCTGTGTATGGTAGTGATATAGATTCTTAATAACTTTTAATTTTTAAGTACACAATTGAAGGGATTTGACAAGATTTCAAGATATTGGATAAGAGGATTTTCTCTTGATTCTGCCTAAGCATATTAGCCATAAACAAATGAGATTTAAGAAAAAGCGGGCATGATGAGATAGTATTGGGATTTTATTTTTCCTGTTCTAGTTCGTACCACTCTATCATTCAAAACCATAACCCTATTTCTACATCTCAACCTTAACTCCATTAGGTAGGTTTAGACTGGACAAGGAACATTGAAATAACAAGTTTGATATCAAGCCAATACCCAATAAAACCGTGGTTATATGATAACGGGGAAAGACAAGATCCGGTAAGCAAAGATGCAAGAGAATCAGATCCAGCTGGGCGAACAACACGACCAAGATTGAGTGATCTGCATGCATAAACAAAACCCCTGAGAGATAATTACACAGACCAAGTTCAAATACAAAAGCTAACAGATAAAGCAGATTGTTCTTTCGTCTCATTGGAAGCATATTTTGTTGCTTAAAGACACAAAAATTCACCTGAGTTCCTTTCCAGCTCGATGTATCATAGTACACACAACTCCATTATCAGCATGTTTAGCAGCCGTTGTCAAGTCGATGTGGGAGTAACATAAACGGTCCATGGCACATTTGTTGAACATGGTACAAGAAGCCGAAGCTTGCATCAGAGATTTCGTATCAAGCATCGAAAACACCTGAATAACAAATCAATCATCAAACACAGTACCATGAAAAACCACTCAAGATAATCAAAATGGATTCAATAGAGTCCTCGATTGCTTACAAATCCCTAAATTCAATACAAAACCATTTCTCAGATTTTCAGAAATTCCACGATTAGTTGTTTACCTTAATAGTGAGTTCGGGAGGGAGGAACCATGAGTTAGAATTGTGAACAGAAGCTCGTTTGCGGAAACACCGTTTAGTGGAATCGAGAAGAAGCGAGGCGAGCTCGAGAGTGCGATCGACGAGACGATCCTGATCGGAGACATCACCGGAAGCGGAGGCGAGAGCTTTATCGAGCAATCGATCGAAGGAGGAGCCAATGGAGATCGGAGAGGAATCCGGAAACGAGAGGAGCGACGAGATGATCGAATCGGCGTGGCTATGGTTGAAGGAGGTGACGGAATTAGGGTTTGCGTTGGGGATCGGAGAATCATCCATGGTTGAGAGATTTTCTTCCATTTCGCAGAGTAATAAATAGTAACCTGTCTCCAAATTTAGGGG